AATAAACTATTTTTCAATCTCCTGGATCTGAACAGTTACATCCTGTTGTCACACAGAGAATTTCGTCTCGCTCTTGTGCGGAACATGCTGGAAGGGGTCCACTTCGCCATCAACGGACCAGGGGTTGAACCCCTGCCGTTTCATTGGAGATATCTCGATTAGAGGAGGCCAAACCACATCACTGGCGGTTGATTTCGACGAAGAACCATCGTCTTGGTCGGCAACCTGGGGACCACCACACCAGCATGGCAAGAGCAGTGTGAATAATTATTCAGGTGGAGCTGTGGGCAGACTGTGGCAAACAGTTATAACATCTGTCATCGAACCTGGAAATGGACAAATAAACCATTTTTCCATCTCCTGGATCTGAACAGTTACATCCTGTTGTCACACAGAGAATTTTGTCTCGCTCTTGTGAGGAACATGCTGGAAGGGGTCCACCTCGCCATCAACGGCCCAGGGGTCGAACCCTTGCCGTTTTATCGGAGATATACCGATTATAGGAGGCCAAACCACATCACTGGCCGACTTCCTCTACTTCGCAATTGAGGTGTCGTGTGTGCTTTTCACGTGGGAAACGAAGAACCATCCAGACAAAGTGCGTGAAGTGCGACATCGGACTCTGGATTTCCGGATGTTTCCAAGATTTCCACATGAAGCCAACATTCCGTTAGACGACGCAGGTGGGAACAGAGACAACTTATAAAGCTGGTGCCCTAAAATCATGTAAGTAGAAAAAGAATTTATAACTTAAAATTAGATTTTAAAAAGCCGGCCGCACGCGTGGACTGCGCGACGACATATGGCGTCATTCGTCCCCTTGACTTTATTTTCATGACGCCATATGGAGTCGCTCGTCTCTTAAAGGTTAATGCATCATGTGCAGGGACATCGTCATGGTGGAGAATCCACTTGTCAGGCCAGAGTTCAGATCTTTTCCTCTCAGTTATCCCTATGCTTACTTAAGTAGCACATAATAAAGATGTATGATGGAGTGGTGGTATAGCTCCATGCTTTCTTAACCGGTGCACTAGGGGGAGGTGAGTGGTGAGTTGCACACTCTGGTTGCCATATCCCCAGGGAAAAGACCCCTCTACCCACTGGACACATGGCTGGGTGGGCTGCAGAACCAGTGGACACTGCCTTGCCAAGAAACAATTCCTAATTTGTCATTCATACTGACAGGAGAGAGTGAAAAGAGTTAACACCTTGAGACCTTCATTTAAATGACTTCATGACTCTGGATTTCTATTTGAATGCCCAGAAGGATGATGTTACCAGGAAATGATGGAGTTAAGCCTCGTGACATGCCTCTTTGGTCTTTCATTCTTTCCGTTAGTCAGGTTATTTGTTACTAAACATTTGTATAAATATAAATACAGGGTTTCCACATGAAAGATATCCAAAATAAAATAATTGTATCTCAGCATTTATTATACACATTTATGTGTTACAGTATTACAAAGGAAACTATCAAAGTTATTTTCTGAGTATATAACTTTCGCAGTAAATTTCAATGTGGGTTTCCTTGGTGGGAATGAAAAATATCCAGATGGTATTCCACCTTGTTCTACATTACTTGAAACATGTTTGGTGTTGCTGTAGCCACAGTGTCCCTTATGCGGGCTTTCGGTTGTTGAAGGTCGTTGATCTTAACCCGGTAGTCAATGTTATTCACATAACCCCACAAGAAAACATCCAGTGGAGTTAAATCTGATGACCTAGGAGGCCAAGCGATTGGCCACTTCTGCTGATCCATCTCCTAGCCATCTCTCTGTCCAGGTAGTTCTTAACATGGTGGCAGAAATGTGGCAGCGCCCCATCTTGTTGGAGGATAGTTTGAGGTGGTAATTGGGTCAGCGTATACAGCTGCAGCATGTCCAGTCACAATCTCTTCCAAAAAGAAAAACATGTGCATTAAGCTGGTCCACACATTCACTTTGGGGCTGCCTCTCTCCAACTCACATGTGACATGTCGATTTTGACTACCCCAAATCCTGCAGTTGTACCTGTTTTACAACTCCATTGACATGGAACATCACCTCATCCAAAAAGCACACTTGGCAGAAGAAATCGGCTGATGCATCAGTTCTTTCTGGCATGTCCGCAGCGAAGTTTATGTATACTGCTTGGTCACTTGGTTTTAGTGCATGAATCATCTGAATCCTGTATGCTCTTAAGCATAGCCTTTTGTGTAGCACATCGTGCAGTGTTGAACATGGAACTTGTAACTGCAAGTTAGCAGCACGAATTGATTTGCGCGGACTTTGCTAGAATGCTTCTCCAATGCAATTTGACATTTTCTTCAGAGGTCCATGTCTTTCCATTAGATTTTATATGCAACAGACTACCTGTAATTCTCAGTTTGTTGTCCCAGAACCCAGTGCTTTTCCGTGTAGGAGGTTGATGCCCATAGTGCTTTCTAAAACGATGCTGGACAACAAATAAGTGATTGCAACCTATTCCTATGGTGTTGCCATCATAAATGAGCTTGCCAAAGGTCGCCAGCTGATGTACATGAGTAAGCCAGGCATGAAAGAAACTTTCAGAATTTTCCTGTTTGATGACATAAACCAGATACATGTATGACAGTTTCCAAGAGATTTTTTTTTGGATACCTTTCATCCAGACACCCTGTATATTTATGTTATTTTGATGAATTATGTTTCAGTCCTTCTTCCATACTGCATTAAGAAACTCTCAGTTCTGTGATACATATATAGACAACAATCTTCATGTGACCAACTGGAAGCGCCGTTTGGGTTGCAAATGCCAATACAAGCATGTAGTAGACTGGTGTGGTTGCAGTCCTAATGACTTCAAGCCAGAGGATTGGCCACGTTTACAGGTGATAACTGAAATTCTGATGTTATTCACTGTAATTTTATTGCAACACTGATATAAGTTAATGCAAGTGTAAAATTGATAGTTACTGCTTGTTTTTAAGAATCTGCTGGTATGAAAATATTGCATATTGTATTATCGTTAAACAGAGACGGTGAGGCAAGTAATGGTTAAAATTGTTCAACCATTACCCTTCTGTTTTTTATTTAGGAACACTCTGAGCTTTAGCAGTGGCCAAAGTCATGTTGAAATTAGGCCAACATTTTCAGGTTGCACACAAGATATGTGCTCAGACCTTGGTAATTGCCTCATGTTTTCTTCATTGGAAAGATAATGTATATTTAAAATCAGAGCTAATTGACCATGTATGTAATGTGAGTATTTATATGTATTCAGTCATAGATTTAAAAGATGATGACATGTACAGTATTTTAAAGCATTGTTTGTTATATCTAATCACATTGCTTAAAACTACTTGGTGTTTATCACAGCCCTTAACTTTTTTGATAAATCCATGGAACTTTTTCAATTTCCAGCATTCAGGAACAAGATTTCATATCACAGTCTGAGCTGTTGTTGGTATTGGTTGTATGAAGTTTGTCACATTAAATATATGTAGAGCTCAATTGTAAGATGATATAATGTCTCTAGAGAGACAAAATGATTAAAAAATGTTTTATTAGAGTCATGTGAATACAACATTTTTTCAAGACAATGTAACATTTAAGATGTGTCACAAATTTCCATACTTTCATGATGGTGAAATTTAATTTTTGAATGAAAACAATTTAGGTCTCTTGTTGCCTATGGCTTATGACATCACAATATTGTGGTATGTAGACCCATTGCTAGGAAACAACCGAGAACAAGCAACTGTACAACGGCCATTGCTAGGTAACGGCTCCACAAACAAGCACGTGTCCACGGCAACTAGAGAACACAGAATTAATGGAAGAGATGTTTTCTATGCAGTCTATGCTGAGGTGTTATAACTGGGACCAGTTAGCAGTTGGATTCAGGGGCCCATGTGGAGGCTGGTTCGAATACCTCCACCATGACCCTGCGATTTGTAGGAGGCGACAAAAAGGGAAGTCTCAAATCTCAGACAGTAATAAATGGTCTCAAGTACCAAGATTCTTGGACCCGAGAAATACTGTGCTGGCAAGGACCAGCAGCATATACAAAAGACATACCCGTCCTCTCGTCAGAGAGGGCACCCACAAAAAACAAGACCGTAACTGACAAACAGTAATAAAGATCCGGTCGCAAGCCCCAGATGGGTGCTTTATGCCAAGACACACTGGCCAACTGACCATCAGTCATAAAATGAGACTTAGACTCGGTTGGAGTCAGTGGTTCAGCAAGGAGGAGGGACAGAAAGGGTGAGTGAGTGAGATCACAGTGAGGAGTCAAGGACAGTACAGTGTNATCCTCTCGTCAGAGAGGGCACCCACAAAAAACAAGACCCTAACTGACAAACAGTAATAAAGATCCGGTCTCAAGCCCCAGATGGGTGCTTTATGCCAAGACACACTGACCAACTGACCATCAGTCATAAAATGAGACTTAGACTCAGTTGGAGTCAGTGGTTCAGCAAGGAGGAGGGACAGAAAAGGTGAGTGAGTGAGATCACAGTGAGGAGTCAAGGACAGTACAGTGTAGCAACAGAGTGAATCATTGAGTTAGTGAAAGTTAGTGAGAAAACTAACAATGGACAGTTTCTACACAAAGTTACCAGCGTAAGCTATATGTAATGAATTCATGGCCTTCTCCTGTTTTGTGCAACCAGTGTGAGTGAAGATGGCAGGCCTGTGCAGATCAAGTGCTTTGTGTGGTTCCTGTATATAATTAACTGTTACAGTAATAGTAGTGGTAACTCTTATCATGGCTAATGTACCCACCCCAGAATTTCAGAAGCTCTGGTCAAACCTATTCGAATATCTGATGTTGGAATACTACAAACACCATACGACAACATCCTGACACTGATGCTGTCATTGAACATGTATGTAAGGTACTTGCTGTTATTGCCTGCCCTGCATCAGTTGGTGAAAGTTCAAAATGGACTCTAATCGTCCAAAACATGGCAGACACCATGAGGAATCTCCACCAGTTTCTGAAAGGAAGGCAGCTGTATAGTGCCCAGTATGGAGTGTGCACAGGTGCTGCAGATCTTGACTGCAGTCCTCAAAGAGAACACCAAAAACAAACTCGGTGATTTTAGTCCACAAGCGAACTATACCAACCAAGCGACCGCCGCTTGTCGGCAAATTGTAGCACCAACCTTAGTGGATAGAGGGTGCTGCATGGTCAGTGCAGTGGATCCACATGGCCGTTAATCTTGGTTTTCTAGACCGGAGCCATTATTTCCTTGAAATAGCTCAATTATCATCAAGAGGCTGAGTGGACCCCATTCTAGACCCACTACTACTTAGAAAACCTGGTAGAACCGGAATCGAACCCAGGAACTCTGACCGCTTGACCACAGAGGCGGTCCTAAGAGAACACCACCAAAGGAGAAACAGCCAAGACCACAATTAATGCACCTCCATCTATTGAGGAAGTCCATGAGCAAAGAAGATGAAAGCGGGAACCTACAGACAACGCCGACAAAAGAGATAAGAGACCTACAACATCTACCATGGGAGTCAATGACCCCCTGTCACAGTTGCAGCCTGACGTTCCCACCCAGAATTTCTTCGCCCCACTGAGGTCAATTGAAATGGGGCCTGACCACAGAGACGACGTGGATGACACCACTGAGCATAAGCATCAGAGACGCCATCCAGCCTGGCTGATAGGCTGCCTCCCATTGCACTGACCTCTCAAGTAAACCAGATACAGTTGCAAAGACAAGTGAAGAGCTTACCGAAAGGTACCTTTGAGTTCCATAACGTCAGAAATGGGACCAGGATTGTCATGAAAAGTGCGGATTTTTCAGCGATTTGCTCTCACTTCACTAGCAGTAACCTCCCATACTTCACCTTCTATCCGAAACCCCAGAGACCTATAAAGGGTGTAATATGGCATCTTCAAGTCTCAGCTCCTACAGAGGACATCTCAGATGGGTTAGTGAACCTTGACTTTGATGTTATTAGTGTCATTCAAATGTCTCATCATCCATCAATCACCTGCAGAAGGAACAAGCACAGTAAACGTTCCTCTCTTCCTAATAACCTTACCTAGGACATCAAAATCCCATGACAAACCTTTGCCATATTGCAATCAGGGTAGAGGAGTGCAAAGCCCAGACTTGTCTCACACAGTGTTACAGCTGCCAACATTTCAGCCATGTCTGGGCCAACTGCAAGCAGCTTCCTTATTGTATGTGGTGTGAGGGCTGTCACCTGCACAATGAATGTCCAGAAAAGGGCAACACAGCATCAATACTGACATGCTGCAACTGCTGTCGAGGCTGCGGGCATGCCAAGGAAGAGATGCAAAAGAGAAAGTTGCAGAGAGTACCCATGACTACAACAGGAGGGCATTCTGTTCCAGCCACCCCACCCCCAGACTATCCTTTCTGATGGTGCTGTGCAGCAGCAGACCCAGCTGCCCTCAGTTGCACAGGCCTGCCCCTTCACAGTGGGAGAAATGAGTGCCCTCCTGCCTTGAGGTACAGCCAACAAGTTCCAAGTCAGTCAGTTCAGGCTGCTAATGCAAAGAGGTTGTCTCTGAACACATGTTCAGAGTAATTGCAAAGATATTTCAGCAGATCATGAGAGAGCTTAATGGGGCTTAGTCAGAAAAGGATAATGGCTATCACAAAAATTGTATTAAAACTCATGAAGCAAAATGACCACTAGGTTTCATAGGCAGTAAATGTGACTGCACTAGCAAGGGCCAACAGCAATGGTAAATGACAGCCCCAGCATATTGTCAGAGAGGGCTTCTCACATCAACAAACCCGCAACTATCTGACAATAATAGAAATCTGGTCTTGGGCGTCAGATGGATGCTTGACACCAAGACAGACTAACCGACTAACTGACACAACTTTGACTTTGAATTTGAGTTGGAGTCAGTCAGAGAACTTTTGGGGTTCAGTCATTTTAAGCAATTGCTATTAGAAGCTGGTAGCTGAGGCCAGGGACAGTTCAACAACCCAGAGGAAGGGGAACGTCTACTGTTGGAAGCTGCTACCAAGCAACAGCAGTGAGGCCATGACTGTAGACACTAGTATCTGTGTAACAGTGAACTGTAAAGTGTAGTCATGTGCTGTATCAAAGCGTGCAATACACTGAGGCATCAATCCAAAACTCATCTCTAGTTACATTCTAATCATGTGACAGTATTGTAGTGTAACAACCTCGGAACAGACCATGTAACAATATTTGCTGCTAGGCAACTGATTCTTAATAAGCAAATACACAGGAGCTGTACCTGAGTAACAGCTTCTCAAACAAATATGTTCCCATGGAAACAACTGAATAGTAAAAAGGGAATGGTGATTTAGAAGTTTAGAAGTTGGAAGGGAGCCGCCATTCAGAGATGACTTGAGCACAGAATCAGAGGAATAGCCATTACCAGGCAACTACTGGTGAAGATACAACAGACTGAAAAGATTTGACATGTGCTGTAAAATTGTGGAGATCAGCAGTGGCAGTATAATTAAGTGTAGTCATGAGTCATGTGTTAAAGTGGTCAATAAATCCACTCTCCAATCCAAAACCCCATTGGGAGTCACATACACTTGACAGTATAGTACAATAGTGCTCATTTAGCATGAATTGTATTCAGATTGTTGTCATCTAGGTTATGACACAAGATAATTGTGTGGGTGGATATCACTGTTTCAGAAGAATATGCTGCTTCCATTTTTAGCCTCTTTTTCATATTTTGAAAAAAAATAAAGGGCTTGTGAAATCATCTTATTGTATGTATGTCCCACTCTAATTTTTTATTTTTCTACACAGCCCACATCATATCGAAGGAAAGTAAGCGATTGCTTCTTCCGAGAACTTTTTTCTTGAGCTGTGTATGCTGTAGAATATTTTGAATTAGCTTGGAAGATCACAAGGAAGGTGATCACTCAATCCCACAGGAGGGGAGAAAGGAAATGGAGCCTGGTTCCGGCCAGTAGGAATATTAAACAGGAAAAATGCCTTTTTCAAGGTCACTCAGCCCTGAAATTGGAGGCAGCATATTCTCTGAAACATGGGTGTCTCCTTAGAAAACTACACGGTGTCACGGCCGGAAGACCATAATATGAGTGTCAGTGCTGTGAGAACTTTGAAACATAGATGAATTTGAAGAAAGCAGTCTTCTGGAATGTGGCACCGTGTAGATGTGGTGTTAACCGTCGTTTCGGAGGAACGTATCGCCTCCATCTTCAGGGTAGAAGGAAAAATAAGAAAATCCACAGGCGAAGAGACAGTAAGAACAGGTGCAAGCAGGCCTTCTACCCTGAAGATGGAGGCGATACATTCCTCTGAAACGTCGGTTAACACCACATCTACATGGTGCCACATCCCAAAAGACTGCTTTCTTCATAGTCACCACTGTGAAAACCTCAAATCTTACATAGATGAATTTAACTGTTGCAGGGCACTGAGAATCGACAGCTGTTCTTTGCCCGTAAATTTGAACCAGTTGTTAATCAAGCGATAATAGATCAAGTTGAAGACTGGCTGTATGGACCATATCCTTCTAGTGAGTAATCAGCTCAACACTTTATTTCACATAAGTGACTTGTGCTAAGGATGTATGAATGTTTATTATGTGCTAAAGGTTGAGAATAACTTTGAAACAGTTAACATAAATTTGAGAGAAACTGTACACTTTCTCTTCTGTTCCTTAATGTAAAAATATATTAAATTTCCACAACTTTCTGCGAGGAATCTCGTCAGCCTTCATAATGATATTTGTAATTGTAAATTTGGGCACAAACTTGGGATATCAAACTAAAACAGTTTCCTACTAACATGGATTGTAAATTGTTCATGATTGAATTATCTTCCAGTACTAATGTCAACCCTTTGGCTGCACCATAGCTGAAGCAGTTAGTCGCTGCCTTCCCACCGTAGTGGCCCAGGCTCATTCCTGGGTCTGGTCAAGTGGGATTTGTGGTGGACAAAGTGGCACTGGGGCAGGTTTTCTCTGAGTACTTCGGTTTCCCCTGCTAATCTTCATTCCACCAATTGCTCCACAATCACCCTCACCTATCATCTGGGGCTGGTACAATAGGCCAGAAGTGGCTGCAGTATAGGGACTTAGTCCCACCCCACTAGCAATAAAAAAAATAAAAATGTCAACCCTTAACTTTGTACTATGTAACCAGCTAAATTCTGAATCAGGGATGAAGCCCCCAGATTAAAGATCAGAGATGCAGTAATTTGCACCTCAGATGCTGGCAATATATGAGTATGGGACAATGGTAGAATGATGAATACCAAGGGGGAAAACCACAGAAACTGGGACAGAATCCATGAATCTCACGAAGTCATTCAGGATTAAATCATGGCTCTGCAATAAAGAACCAGCTTCTCACCTAAACTGTTGCTTTGCCTATCAACCCAGTGTCTGTTGAATAATGACTTTGATTATTTCAACCTCATATTTCACATCTTTAAATATTGTGACATGTTGCGAAAAGCCGAGCCCCCCCCCCNTGTAACGTAAACACGTTACAATATTATAGTTCAGCAATTGTTTAAAACCTGAAGTATATGAAAGAAATTTATGAGACATGTTGAAAACACTGTGGACCATTTTGCTGTGACATTCTAAGAAAATCCTCTCGATCACGTTCATAAGATCATACCTTCAGCCACCTGAACCAGTCCTTACCCTCACATCCTGTTTCTTATACCGTTCAGCGTGGTTTGACGTGTATGTTTCGTCAAGGTATTTAAATCGTCTGCGGGGGTTCGACGTCTATGTTTCGTCCAGCTGCACACCTATGTTATAACGCCCATAATAATTGATGGTTTTGCTGTAGATTGTTAGATTTTTCACTGGCCTGTTGTCAGAAGAACAGTATATAATGAGACATGACTTTAGCTGCGTTAAGTCATCGTTACATATGCCTGTCTTGCAGCAAATTCGTGTCGCTTCTGGTAGAAGTTTCCTCATTCAAACTGTTATGAATGGCGTGTTTTCTTTCCTATGAAGTTATAAACAGCAGAGACGTGATATGTGCTGTGTTTATAATATCATATTGCCCTGAGCTGGCCACACTAACACACTCAATTAGAATTCTTAGAAGAGGGATGTCCAAAAATTTATTCTTGCAAGATCGATTGATTTCGCACAGTACATAGCAGCCAGTTCTTAGAAAAACGCCACAAATTAAGGCAGAACACTGTGGTCACCCCCTGTGACGATACGGGTGTGTGTGGGGGAGGGAAAAGAACTCATTCCTTCATGTATTATCGCTCCAGTTGACTCCATTTTATCGTACTGACTTTGGTGGTCGTTTCGAGGGATGACCATAATATTTTTTTGAGCCAGCTAAGCTCTGCTTTCGTGCACTACATACCAGCCAGTTCTTAGAATAACTTCATGAATTCTGTGGTCACCCCTACGACATCTGCTGCAGCCAAAATGGATGGAATATCAAACGCATAGCACCAACCCCTTGTTATGATAACTCGTAACGGTTGAATTTACTGCAGCTGACCTGGCAAGCTTATCGACTCACGGAAAGACATTTCCTAGTATTCCTCCTTTGGGAAGAAGGCAAAACCGCACAGAATATCTGTGGTTTACGGAAAAAGGGCCAAATGAAAGATACACAGTTTTGGTGTGGTGAATATGAGACAGCATTGTGTATAGAAGAATGCTTCAATGCGTAACATACACTGCTCAAATTCTAAACCACCTGCTTCCATTGCCGAGATACCGGGC